GTTTTAATTATGTTTAATGGTTATCTGAGGGGAGGAGATGTACAGTATGTATATTGTTAGGATTGGATGTACAGTTAATTATATGGGAGGCTCCCTTGCATGGGCAGAATCCCATAAAAAGAGCATGCCTGTCAATAAATCTTTAGTTCATCTTTGTACCCTTCTTCTGACTACGTATGCTGTTTGGGAGTTCGTGTGTTACTGAGGGAATTATCCAGGGACACTTGGAATTACACTGGAATTCGTCTACCATAACTACCGAACGGAGGGCTATATTCACTAGGCTCTGGCGTTTCAGGAGGAAACTACCGATTGAGGTTTAAATGCACTTGGTTTCCTTACAACTATCATTTTGCAAAAGCCACGCTATGCAAATCAGCATCTCCTCATAGAGATGCATTGAATCAAGGCATCTCTATGATACATTTTCAGCTGAACGTAGGGCAGCACTGACCCATCTGAGTGATGGCCACTAGAGGTGTTACTAGGAAGCAATGTAAACACTAAAAATGCAGCGTTTTTATTGCTCAGCCTGCAAGATCAGGCTGTAGACACCAGAACAACTACATTAAGCTGTAGTGGTTCTGGTGACTATAGTGTCCCTTTAAAAGTCTTTTTTGGTCCTCTAAAATGTGTCATGCATTATTCATAGTGCCTGGAAAACAGTTGTTCTCCTGGCACTATGGTTCCATATAGTGTCCCTTTCCTCCCCGCAGTTCAGAAGGGCTTAAAATCAATGTCACCGGCCACTGGCTTGGGTCCGCCTCCACTCCTTATCAGCCGGCAGGAAAGACCTAATGCGTATGCGCGGCAATGGACACACTTGCATTAGGGCTTTCTCCATAGGAAAGCATTATACTATGCTGCCCTATGAAGAGGAGCTCCTGCAGTTCCTAGGAAAAGAAAGCCTTGTTGGGATTGAGGGGACAACTGGTGCTGATACATCTGAAGGGGTACATTGTTAAATTCATATTTGTTAGTCAATGCACATATATAAGTTTTCATGTGTTAACTCTCCAATTTGTGTTTTTTTTTTTTTCTACCATCAGTGTAAGCCGCTCAATTCCAGGTAGTAGCACAAACGTCATCAGGAACTGCAGGAGATGCTGTCTCCACTGAGAGTAGGGCAGCAGGTTCCCCTACTGTCTCCCTGGAGAAGCACCTGGCTTCACTTTGCTGTTGTAAGTATTTGCATAGCATTGTTAGATATATGACATATATGTGTGATTGTACTGTATATGAAGTTAATTTATCACATACATGCATTTCAGACCATCTGCAAATTGTCGAGCACTCTTCATCATGTCCGACTGCGGTTTCCCTCTAACAGTCAGCCACTGGTGTCCAGGAACAGCGATGCACTGCTGAGCAGGGCCGTCTTTAATATTGATTGGACCCTGGGCAAGCATCTGTTTGGGCCCCCTGGGCATGCAATCACTCCCTCCACCCCAACCTAACGGCGAAACTAATGTAGAGAGTGCCTTGGTGCAACAAAAAAAAAATTCAGGCCTGCCCTGTAGCACAAGAGTAAAGAAAAGATAGATCCCCATCTGTCATACAACTTCTGCGATGCTATGCCAGGTGGGGATCTACCATCCTTGCAGGGTTGTATTTTTGAGCAGTGTTTGTGCAAATAAATGTCACCATGTTATTGTATAGAGTGTATGTGTGCATGTAGGAGTGTATTTGTATGTACTGTTACCACTGGAATGCAGTGGTGTACTTGTGTGTAGTGTTTGCATTTTAATGCAGGGGTGTGTGATTGTTTGTAGTGTTGGCTTTTAAATGCAGGTGTACTTTTGTGTGTAGAGTTGGTGTTTGTATATAATTTTAGCGTTTTAATACAGGAATGTGTTTGCATGTAATGTTTGTATTTGCATGCAGGGGGGTGTTTGGATGTAGTGTTGTCTTTTAAATACATGTGTATATTTGTGTGTAGTATTAGTGTTTCAGCAAACTGGTGTGTTTGTAATGTTTGTGTTTGCAGGGGTCTGTTTGCATGTTGTGTGATTTCTATAACACATATACATTAACACGCAGATACACACATGCTCACACTGACACATGCTCACACCTTGACACATACTGGCACATACACACACACACACACACTCAGATACACACCCTTTGACACACAGATACAAGCACTTTGATATACACACACTGGCACATACACACACACTCAGATACACACATACATAAAGGTATAAATGCAGGGGTGTATATGTGTACAGTGCTAGAGATGGAATGTAGGAGTGTATTTGTGTTGGCATTAAAATGCTGGGATGTATGCATTACCACACACTCAGATGCACACTTACACACACACGAAACACACACACAGGTGCACATACAGGTGTATGAGGTATACATACACACAGAAACACTGACACACAGACAAACACAGCCAGATACACACAAGGACATAAACACAGCCAGATACACACATATATATGTGTACATTTACATATTTTAATCTCTGCCTTCTAGCAGCTCTTGGACAGCAACTCCCAGCAACCTTGGCCAATATAATGTCTCAACTCTGTTCTTACATACCCTGGTCCAGAATTTGGCAAAAGTGACATTTGAAAATGGTGTACAGCCTTTGATAACACTTGATGCAATATGTTAAAATAAATACTTTTTAAATTTATATTTAATAGGGAACTGTCAGGTTCTTCTAGGATTTTTAACATGTACTTATTCCCTGTGTGTTACATTACAAACACCAACACACTTAAATAAAAGTGATATCAGAAATTATCAAAACAAAAAAACAAAACATATTTAGCCACCCTCCTGTCTCCTTACCTTTTGGGTACAGAAAGGTGGCTTCCCTGGGGTCCAGTGGGAGCTTGCTGGCCCAGGCTGATGGGAGTCTGCCATCAGCTTTCTCAGTCCCTCTCCCCCACAATGCTTGCATCCTCCTCCGTGTGGTGTGTGCCTCCTCCCCAGCGGCACTGAGGAGGAAGTGATCAGTTCTTACTGGGAGGAAGCAATCTGACCTCACTGCCTCCCAGCATGCCCAGGAAACAAAGAGACTCACAGGGCAGTATGTGAGGGGGCTAGCTGTGAGTATGTAGTCAGCCACCCCCCATATAACAGGGGCCCGGGCCGGTCCAGAGCAGTATTAAAGGGCTGTGGCCCCTGATTACCTCAGGTGCCACAGGGGGCCCATGGGGCAGCTGCCTTAGGGCCCCCAGGAGTTACTGGGCCCAGGGCAGCTGCCCCTTTTGCCCCTCCTTAAAGACGGCCCTGCTGCTGAGTGTAAGTAAAACATGCTTTGTCATCTAACTGTACAAATTTAATGTCTAGATGACCAGCACGGGGTGGGAGCACACATCACTCCTCTTCTTTTGTTCACTTTATGTACTGTGTCTGAGTGGACCGCCGGTGTATAATCTTCTGTTTCTTCAATTTGGCCTGACCGAAAGCTGAGTGCAACGAACAGCTTCCTGTCATGCAGAAGAAACAGGAGATTCTCTACCTGGGGATGCTCAGCCACAATACGTGTAGTGAAGTTAGAAGGAAAGGGAGGTGGGCACAAAGAGACCCACAGATGATTGAGGGGGCATAAAGAGACACAGAAAGGGCTTGGGGGGACAAAGACGCATTAATAGCGTGACTGCATAAATCTTATTTACAAGTTTGAATAATATTGTTGTACAGATAATAGTTAGCATTGCAACATATGACAGATGTTACAATGTTGTTTCTCTGTTCTCCCCTATAGGTTCTGATGGTGCTCTCCACCTGCATCAGTACCCTTACAGCAGTGCATTTTGGTTCCATGGAGCCGATGACATCTGTGGCCGAAGAAACGATGTCGCCATACATCAGGATAAGGAGAATCAGCGAGAATTCTTAGAGAATGTAATAACTGAGGTAAGCTCCATTGTCAAACATTTTGAATAAGGGCGTTAGGCAATTCAAAAACACCAATGGCTTCTCTGGATCAAAATATGCAGTGTTTTGTGGAGATGAGGGAGGAAGAGTACATTCTAATGTGCGTCCAAGCTGCCAAATATTTGGGCATAACCATTGATGATGTGGATGACCTAATTCATGAAAGACGTCTTCTAAGAAGGGATGATGAGGATGAATAGATATATGCAGGTAGAATGCACTCAGATGCAGTGGCGTACACATGACCCCTGGGGCCCCGGTGCGAAAATTGATCCGTGGGCCATGGCGGTGGGCACCTGGTCGCAGGGGTTACAGGGCTGCGACCCCTGCGACCGCGGTATGTACGCCAGTGCATGCAGATACACACACACTTAAAGGACCACTCTAGGCACCCAGACCACTTCAGCTTAATGAAGTGGTCTGGGTGCCAGGTTCAGCTAAATCTTATTATTTTGAGTAAACATAGCAGTTTCAGAAACTGCTATGTTTATGAATGGGTTAAGCCTTCCTTTTCAGCTGCCGTCTCATTGACAGCGCTAGGCGCTGCGCTTCTCACTGTGATTTTCACCCGTGAGCATGGCGTCCATAGGAAAAGCTTTCCTATGTGACCGGCTGAATGCGTGCACAGCTCTTGCAGCGCGTTCGCTGGGGCCGAGGGAGGAAAGAGGAGGGTCGAGGAGGGAGGACTCCGCCCAGCGGCTGGAAAAGGTAAGTTTTACCCCTTTCCAGAGCCGGGCGGGAGTCCCCTGGGTGGGGCACCCTCAGGCTTTCTAGTGCCAGGAAAACGAGTATGTTTTCCTGGCACTATAGTGGTCCTTTAAAGGACACTACAGACACCCAGATCACATCAGCTCAATGAAGTTGTCTGGGTGTCAGGTCCCTCTAGTTTTAACCCTGCAGCTGAAAACATAGCAGTTTCAGAGAAACTGCTATGTTTCACTGAGGGTTAATCCAGCCTCTAGTGGCTGTCTCACTGACAGCAGCTAGAGGAGCACACTGAACGTCCATAGGAAAGCATTGAGTAATGCTTTCCTATGGGCGGTTTGAATGCGTGCGCGGTCCATTCGGAGCTGAGAGGCTGAGGGATCCTCAGCCTGGAGAAAGGTAAGTGCTGAAGACACACACACACACACACACACACACACACACTTACAGACGCATACACACTAGCTAACAGACACACACATTTACTGACAGAGACACAGTCAGTGACAGACATACATACACACTCACTTACAAAACATACACTCTCATTGACAAACACACACTCACTAACAGACATCAAACAGACTCACTAACACACACACTCAGTAAGACACACACACAGTAACACACTCACTAGCAGACACACACACTCACACTCACTCTAACACTCACTAGCAGACACACACTAACACTCACTCTAACACTCACACACACACTAACACTCACTCAAACACTAACACTATTTTTTTTTTAAATGTAATCCCCCCAGCCTCCTTACCTTTTGGAGTGCTGGGGGGATTCCCTGGGGTCCAGTGGCCCTGCTGACCCCAGCGGGCGGGTGGCCGGTCGGGCAGGCGGGTGCGCGAGGGAGCACTCAGTGCTTCCTCTTCAGCTCCCTCGCGCGCCGCGTAGGGATGCCGGTGCCGGAAGATGACGTTATCTTCCGGCTCCGGTATCAGTGCGGTGCGCGAGGGAGCTGAAGAGGAAGCAGGGCCAGCCTCGGGGGGCCCTGGGGTGGTCGGCTCCTGGGCCCCCCAGGGGAAGAGGCTGGCCCTGGGTGTACATACCGGGTCGCAGGGGCGGCCGGGCCCCCTGGTGGGCCGGGCCCGGTCGCAGCCGCGACCCCTGCGACCCTGGTATGTACGCCACTGCTCAGATGTTTATTCCTCATTATCATCCACAATGTGAACACAACTGATGCTGTTCATAGGTTGATACAATTTTTTTTTCAGTTTTTCCCTATAATTATAATTTCAGCCACTTGCTTTAATTATAAAATCCACTTGCTTTTATAATTAAAGTTACATTGTTTTATTACCACTTCTGACTTCTCTTTTCTTTAATGATATATAATAAAGAATACATACATACATACACACACACACACACACACACACACAAAATTATTGAAAGAAAATCTGAAGGAAAACTACCGAGTGTGCTCTCCTTTGCAGGGACTTTAGAAAAGTGAGTGAGTCACTTTTGTATATTCCTTGCCAAGGTGTACCTCCAGCCTCATAGTAATAAGTTACCTCGAAGTAGAGCGTTCAGTGGTTTTCTTGTGAACTTAAATTTCTCTCAAAGATGGGTTATTCTGAAGTATCCTGATGAAATTCCAAATATGGACTGCAACATTGATGTTAAGAATTAACCCATTTTTGAAAGAAATTCCAGTTTAAAGGAAAATCACTCAGTGCTCTCCTTTAAGGTAACATATTGCTGTGAGGCTGGAGATACACCTCGGCAAGGAATATAGAAAAGTAACTGACCCACTTTTCTAAAGCAATAAATTACCTGTACAAAGTATAAACAAAGAATTGTAACACTATATTTAGTGGAAATATATGATGAAACCACCAAAAGTAGCCCAGGATCAATATAAAAGAACAATATTGTATAAAAAAAACATGCCGCAAACGCTTTTTTTCGGCATCAAGTCTTCTTCCAGTGGAATACCTAGCAACCTAGAATGTGACAGCAGATAAGAACCATTCGGCCCAATTTTCTAAATAATTTAATTAGTCCCATGCCTTTATCTTAAGTCTAGGATAGCCTTATGCCTATCCCACACATTCTTAAACTCCACCACTGTATTAACCTCCAGGGGCGGGCTGGGCCGGGAAGCAATTGCCCCCCAGGCCGTCCTAAAGCATGTTTAAAAATAGCCGCTGGGCCGTCTCTAACGCAGGGCTAAAGGCAGCTGCCCGGCCCAGTTCTTCCTAAGGGGCCACCAAAGCAGCTGCCTCTCTTGAGCCCCGCCGGCCATGCCTACAGAATTCCAATCCTTCACTATGCGGCCGGCATTGCTCGGTCGGTGGCTCCTCCTTCTGACCTCCCATGTGCAAGCGCGTACTGTGACGTCATGAAATGAGTCACGGTCGGTAACAGCGCATAGAAACATAGAAACATAGAATGTGACGGCAGATAAGAACGATTCGGCCCATCTAGTCTGCCCAATTTTCTAAATACTTTCATTAGTCCCTAGTCTTATCTTATAGTTAGGATAGCCTTATGCCTATCCCACGCATGCTTAAACTCCTTTACTGTGTTAACCTCTACCACTTCAGCTGGAAGGCTATTCCATGCATCCACTACCCTCTCAGTAAAGTAATACTTCCTGATATTATTTAAACCTTTGTCCCTCTAATTTAAGACTATGTCCTCTTGTTGTGGTAGTTTTTCTTCTTTTAAATATAGTCTCCTCCTTTACTGTGTTGATTCCCTTTATATATTTAAATGTTTCTATCATATCCCCCCTGTCTCGTCTTTCCTCCAAGCTATACATGTTAAGATCCTTTAACCTTTCCTGGTAAGTTTTATCCCGCAATCCATGAACCAGTTTAGTAGCCCTTCTCTGAACCCTCTCTAAGGTATCAATATCCTTCTGAAGATACGGTCTCCAGTACTGTGTACAATACTCCAAGTGAGGTCTCACCAGTGTTCTGTACAATGGCATGAGCACTTCCTCTTTCTACTGCTAATACCTCTCCCTATACAACCAAGCATTCTGCTAGCATTTCCTGCTGCTCTATTACATTGTCTGCCTACCTTTAAGTCATCAGAAATAATCACCCCTAAATCCCTTTCCTCATATGTTGAGGTTAGGACTCTATCAAATATTCTGTACTCTGCCCTTGGGTTTTTACGTCCAAGATGCATTATCTTGCACTTATCCACATTAAATGTCAGTTGCCACTATTCTGACCATTTTTCTAGTTTACCTAAATCATTTGTCATTTGGCTTATCCCTCCTGGAACATCAACCCTGTTACATATCTTAGTATCATCAGCAAAAAGACATACCTTACCATCAAGACCTTCTGCAATATCACTAATAAAAATATTAAAGAGAATGGGTCCAAATACAGATCCCTGAGGTACCCCACTGGTGACAAGTCCAAGCTTCGAATATATTCCATTAACTACAACCCTCTGTTGCCTGTCACTCAGCCACTGCCTTACCCATTCAACAATATTGGAATCCAAACTTAAAGATTGCAGTTTATTGATAAGCCTTTTATGTGCAACAGTGTCAAAAGCCTTACTGAAATCTAGGTAAGCAATGTCTACTGCACCACCCTGATCTATAATTTTAGTTACCCAATCAAAAAAATCAATAAGATTAGTTTGGCATGATCTCCCTGAAGTAAACCCATGTTGTCTCTGATCTTGAAATCCATGTGTTTTAGATGTTCATCAATCCTATCCTTTAACATGGTTTCCATCACTTTCCCCACTACTGAAGTAAGGCTTACTGGCCTATAGTTGCCCGACTCCTCCCTATTACCTTTCTTGTAAATGGGCACAACATTCGCTAACTTCCAATCTTCTGGGACTACTCCTGTTAACAATGATTGGTTAAATAAATCTGTTAATGGTTTTGCTAGTACACCACTAAGCTCTTTTAATAGCTTTGGGTGTATTCCATCAGGTCCCATTGACTTATTTGTCTTTACTTTTGACAGTTGAAATAGAACCTCTTCCTCTGTAAACTCACGTGTAATAAATGACTCATTTATCCTTTTTCTCAACTGAGGTCCCTTTCCTTAATTTTCATCTGTAAATACAGAACAAAAATATTCATTGAGGCAGTCAGCTAGACCTTTATCCTCTTCTACATACCTTCCTTCTTTTGTTTTTAATCTAACTAATCCTTGTTTTACTTTTCTTTTCTCATTTATGTATCTAAAAAATGTTTTATCCCCCTTTTTTACTGACTGTGCTATTTTCTCTTCTGTGTGTGATTTGGAAGCTCTTATAACTTGCTTAGCCTCTTTCTGCTTAATCTTATAGATCATTTTGTCTTCCTCACTCTGGGTTTTTTTTATAATTCCTAAATGCTAACTTTTAGTTTTTAACTATTTTGGCCACATCTGCGGAGTACCACAGTGGTTTCTTGAATTTTTTGCTTTTACTGACAAGCCTAATGCAATTTTCTGTTGCCTTCAATAGTGCAACTTTTAAATAATCCCATTTCTCTTGGACTCCATTTAAATTGCTCCAGTCTGATAATGACTCCTCTACCCATATTCTAATTTTAGAAAAGTCTATTTTTCTAAAGTCTAAAACTTTTGTTTTTGTGTGGTGTGACGCAGTCACTGTTCTTATATTAAACCCCACTGACTGATGATCACTGGATCCTAAATTTTCACCAACAGTAATATCTGATACCAAATCTCAATTTGTTAACACTAAATCTAGTATGGCCTCTTTTCGAGTTGGCTCCTCAACAACTTGTTTTAGAGACAATCCCAGT